ATATATTGAATAAGACAATTGCCAAGTTTATGTGAGATTTGTATAATTAAATTTTTATGGAATTTAACATTTTTTGTATTTATAAAAGATTATATGTGAATTTATAAAAGCAATATTATAATTATATACTACTACATGTCTATCAAAATAATAACCCAATAATGACCACATTTCGATAAGCTTCCATTACGAAATCAGCACATAATGGCGCAGATTCCACATTGGCATGGATTATCATTTGATATCCTTTGAAGTAGAACATAACCGCATTAGTTTATTGTTGCTAAATATTTCAGTTTTTCAGTCGCGTCACGTTGACAATAATCTCATTTCATTATGACTTTTTCGAATGCGAAATAGCGAATCTATTGTTACGTTGTATCTGAGGTTGATGCCAACTGCGTTTCAACTAGTGCGAATTACTGCTGGTGTTAAGTTACTACTGTTGACATGCCTCACTACAAATGATTGTCAGTTCTCTACAGTTTCGTTAAAACATCGCATTTCCCGCCCATGCGTTTGAATAATGCGATAAACAGAGTCTGTCATTTTTACTCTAATTTTGTACAAATAAGAAGTTGCGGACAACGACTGTTTCCATTAACTTTGAATAATAAATTTATTAATTTTTTGAAAAAAAATATGTAGTACATAAATTTATTTAAATATGCTGTATTTCGTTTTCATTTCAGTTTCACTTCGATTGATCTATTTAAATTAATATATACGTCAGGTATGAACTGAGTTTAGTAGTTCATAACATACTGCCGAGTCTATGATGTCATTTTACAGATTGCTTTATTTAATAAAATTTCTTAATAAATAACAAACTAACATTACTTACGAGACTCACTATTTATATTTTGAGCCCTGACTCAAAGTTTGACATTATTAAACCTAACCTACATTAGACTTTTTGTCAAAAGAGCGTTATTTGTGTTATTTACAGTGATCTGTAAATTGAGTGTTCGCGATGATTGAGTGTTCGTAAATTTTCGTGCGATGATTTATTGCGACTTTCGACGCAATAAATGCACCCAAGACATGAGTGCATCGAACACTTTACTTCCACATTTGGCGATGAAGCTTCATGCTTTTCCACTGTGAAACGCTGGTACAATGATTTAAATCATGACGAAATTCGATTAGGTCGTTTAAAAACAGTTGTGCTAAATTGATGCTGTGCTAAAACTGATAATTCAAGATTCTCATGCGGCATACTCTGAGATTGAGAGAATCCTAGGCATTAGTTCCACCAGCATATATAAAATATTGTACAACCATTTAGCCGTGAGAAAATGAATAAATCATTTGACAAAATCTGAAAAATATTCTCGTATCGATTGGTGTACACAAATGCTCAGGAAGTACAAAAGTGGTGCTTCTAAAGATATATATAAGATTGTTACAGGTGCCGAATGATAGATATATGCGTATGAGCCGGAACGTTAACAGCAGCCGACTGTATGGGTGTTTCAAGATGAACCAAATCCAACAAAAGTTGCTCGCACTCAAAGAAATTCGAAACAAGTGGTCGCTTGTTTTTTTCGGGTCATGTGGCAACTATGAGTATACCATTACAGGAACGTAAAACGGTCAATTCCGAATGGTACCAGTATACAACCATATGTTTACCGGAAGTCATCAGTGATATACTTAAAACAAACAAGCGCCATTGGATCATTCTCCATTAAGACAATGCGAGTGCTTACACATCTCGTCTGTTAACCGATTTTTTGAACATTAAAAAAATCGAATCGATGGGTCATCGATGGTACAGTCCTGATTTGGCACCCATTGACTTATTCTTGTCATTGAAAGCGATCGTCAAGAATAAACTGCGTAGACAACGATTTTTGTCGGCGGAAGAAGCCGTTGTTGCATTAAAAAATCATGTTTTGGAGGTGTCTGATAAAGATTGTAAAAAATGCTTGGAAAAAATGGTTTGAACGCATGCAAAAGTTTATTAATCGTAAAGAAGAATACTTCGACTTTCAATGAGAAGTTAGTATTTTTTCATTATTTGGCTAAAAATCTAAATAGCGATCCTCGTATTATCAACTCATTGTATATAAATTTGATGGAAATATTTGATGGAAATCATGAATCTCGCTTCTACTCTACACTTTTTTCAAACTACCAAAAACATTCTAGTTCTTCTTAGTCATTAGACTTAATCGTTAGTGAATTCCGCGTTGCCATCTAAAGTTATTGTAAGATTATTTCTATTAATCAAACCCATACAAACAGTAGTACATTGTATTCATTGCAGATGTATTTCATACAGATGTGTTGTCTGAAAAATAGTTGTATGTATTTTTTAATATTTCATCTTAATTTATTTATACATATTTTTTTTAAAAAATTGATTTGCTGTTGGTAAATTTATCACAATTAAAAAAAATATTAGTACTTTTAAAAAATTTTTATTTTTAATTATTTGATACTAATGATGTCTATAGCAAAACAATCTAAACAACAATGTTACTATACCAGCTCAAAAACTGTAGTCCCTATGGACACAATTGCAGAAGAGCAAGAAAATGAATCGGATTTCAGTGCTGTGAGAGAACCTAAAAGCTCGATACAATTCACTATTACCAACACAAATGTTCAGAATGAATTAGGTAATACTTTAAACATAAATGGAAGGAAGCGCAAATTTGAGGACACATGCAATCCAATGTGTCCATGTATACACAGTGTATCTAAGAAAAGTTGTCAATCTTAATATACAAATTTCATAAGGAGTTGCAGATAGAGATATTTACTATATTTTTGGATAGCATTAATTGCAAAATATGCGGGAAAGCATATTTAAGTTCAATAACTTTTATTAAATTTCTGTCGCCCTATTTAGAAACTCCACAATAATCCAATAATCCAATATTCGTAATAAATTATCAATGTTTATTAAAAGAGGAATATAGTTTCACTTCACGAATATATATTACAAGCAAGACTATAAATGATAAGATTTTGAAATTGATTTATATTTTTATTTACTAATCTCTTTACTCTTTCTTCTTTCGGTACAGTGTAATAAACACCATTCTATTTCTCCTTCTAAAAGATACATGCTTTTTATTCTTTCAAAGATTCTTTCCTGTCGACAAATTTTAAAATTTGCTCGTTAATGGTAAATTGTGCTTTATACATTGATCTTTGTTTTATCCACTCCCTTTTCACTTTCTTCCCACGGTGTACAAACTCTTCCAACAGTTCTTTAACATTTGACGAATCTGCACGACTCAGTTCTTTTTGTGGATACGGTGGAGGAACAGCAGTCTTGATACTTTGCTTTGGCGCTGATATACACATTTCCTCTCCATTATCCTCCTGTTTAATTTGAATTTCATTATCTTTTGTGGTATTGATCGATTTTTTTTCATTTTGTAACCATGCGCGACAAATAGGAAACATTGGTTTTGCTTCTGTACAATTTATAGTATTGATAGAACGACCCCCAATATCTACAAAAACTGTTTTTGAAACTTCCAAATCTGATATTTCCATTTGTAATCCATTCTGTGCTTCATCCGATTCTATCTCGAAAAGAAGTTGATTTTCATTCATCTCTATTATGCCTATATCTTCCTTAAAATCATCAATCTCCATGATTGCTTACCGGAACAACCCTGCCTTAATTGCGTTTTATTTATGAGTTTAGAAAACTTCTGTAAAAGATATTTTTAAAAGTTTTTTATAATAAAAAAATTACTTAAATATATATTTACCTCAGCTATGAAAAATTTTAAAGGGACAGTTATTTTAATAAAACTGAATTGTCAAAAAAAATAAACCAAAAGAGACAGACAATATATGAACAGGATGTCTATATATGCATATATATTTATTTGAAAGCTTCGATATTAACCAGGCTAATATAGATGTAGTGATTCTTCTTCAGCTGATATTCACAATAAAGTTAAATTATTTCAAATTTTTAGATATATACTTTTTTAATATATTTTTAAATGTGTTAAACACAACGTTTACACCAATTATAAATCTTATAAATCGTTGGATTTTGTCAAAAATAATATATAATAATTGGGATATTTTAGGTATTTACAGATATTTATAAAGCATTATTTGTACAAGAATGAAAATTTCTTTAAACAATAAATAACTGTCATTTCAGTGCTAGATTTTTATTGTCAAGTTGAAATTCGACCATTCACTCTAATTTTGCATTATATGGTATGAATTTAGCTATTTCATTCATTACCATTGTATCTTGTTGCTCTATTTTACATAATGAGATCAAGGAATTAAAACCACAAATCAAGATGCCGGAATATATCCAATGCACTATTAAGCTCAAGTCACTTACTACACTAGTAAATGTTTATTACTGCAGTTTATAGACTACAGCATTGCGTATAATCGGGCACAATTCTACAGAATTCTACAGTATCGCGGAGATTCCGTAAAAACTTTGGTAAACACATTGAATTAGTTGAAACCAACTCCTTAAGGTAATAAAACTGGCAATAACCACGGAGTGAAAGGAAAAACTAAAAAAGTTCAGGATAAGCCCACTCAAACCCGTCATTTGTTTTATTAGTGACTTCTACTTATGCATAAGTAATGCAGAAAACAACACTGAGAATATACCAACGTAATAATAAACACAACCGAAGACAGACCCAGGGAGGACTACTACAGCACTACTAAATCTTGTAGGGCCGTACTTTTCTAAAAAAAATAATCCAGTAGAATTGGTCGACGAACAAACGTCGATATCTAAAGAGATTGTGTGGCACCTAGCGATGTTGCGAAAAGAATAAAATCGAACTGTGCGGTAGCACAACCAATTAACTGGTTCTGGTCCATTTTACATTTTATATATTATATCGAGTCTATTCTAATATT